CGGGAGCTCTGACGGGGCCATTTCCCTGTTGAGCTACACGGGTGATGGGCAGTGGGAAGTCAAAAAGATCAGCAATGCACACACGGTGAGTCTCGTCCTTTGGGGCAGCCCAGAGTTCCCAGAGCTACAGAAACACCGAGGTGATGCCTCAGAGACTTGAGTAGATAAATACTGAAATGCAATGAAATTATGTGAAACATCCAGAACCAAGAATAGTTTCACTTCTTCCAGAGTAGGCAGGTATACTTTTTAGTCACTAAAATGAAGTGAAATTGTTGTGAAGTTCACTAAACAGCACTGGCAATGCCTGTTCATTGGGCATTGTTGTTAAACACAGTGCTGAAAGTTACCTGATAAGAAATGGGCTTGGTCCTAAGAATATCTGCACCAGCTGGAAAAAACTCTGGGACTCCTGCTTTTCCCAAAACTGTGGAAATTTTTGTTTAAGCAGAACATAATAAACTAATGGCAATGGCCCCCAGTAGAAGGAAATTCAGGACCAAAGGTTCCTTCTGCTCCTGTATTCCTAAATCTTAGCAACTGTGTGTGCCTTTTGTCTTTGCAGTTTCTGTCTCTGTCTCTATTTGCACATCCAAGATGAACTATTTTGTGTGCAAATACCCTTAGCTACCTCAGGCTCTCTGAACAAGTGCCTTAGTGAGGCTACTCTGCATCTGGATTTCTTATTCATCCGATATTCATCCAGCATTGTCCAAGACTTCAGTTTTTCTGAGATGGGCTTATTCCCCATTCTCAGTAGAGAGTATGCAACATGTTCTTCACCCTCTCAGCAGCCTCTATCTATTTATTTAGTTAATTAAAGTAAGCAACTTGTAACAGTGATGTTTTTCATTAACTAGATTGGATGTAATGCAGTTAGCTGGGCTCCTGCTGTTGTACCAGGAAGCCTTATAGAACAACCCTCTGGTCAAAAGCCAAACTACATCAAAAGATTTGCATCTGGTGGCTGTGACAACCTGGTCAAGATCTGGAAGTAAGTGCCATGTCGCCAGGTAAAACCTGACACTTTAGGATTAGAGTTTCCCTGTTATTTTTGGTCATCCCTATTGTTTCATCTTCGAATTACTGTTTTAGAGAAGTGTTTTAAAAATGGAAGCTTAGTGATGCACAGTATCCCATGGTTCTTGCAGTTTGTGCCAGCCCTGTGTGATCCTGTCTCCAAGGGTGGCTTTGTAATGGTCTTTGGTAATAGCAGATATTACCACTTTGGTAATAGCAGATTTCTGACAATAACTGGAGGTCAGAACATCTTTGCCTGTGCTGCTTTCTGCCTCCTGAAAGGGATTTTGTCAGTTCAAGCCATAGAGATTTTTGGAGAAGTAGGGAACACTTGTGCTTTGTATTGTATTGATGAAGAAGGAGTTTGAATGCTGCAATCCAAAGCCTTCCTGAGCAGGGCATGAGGTGATGAAGGGTGCTGCCACCATCCCTCTGACCATATAGCTGTGTTTTCAGGGAAGAAGAGGGTCAGTGGAAAGAAGAGCAGAAGCTGGAGGCTCACAGTGACTGGGTACGAGACGTGGCCTGGGCCCCATCCATCGGGTTGCCGACCAGCACCATTGCTAGCTGCTCTCAGGTGAGGTTTCTCTGGAGCGACAGGCAGGTATGAGGTGTGCTCTCTTCCGCGTGCTCCCGTCCCCGTTTCTCTAGGGAAGCAATTGTAGGGATAGAGCTGCTGTAACAGGTCCTCTTGGCAATCCTTTGCTACATGTGGGTCACTGCATAAGAGCCTTTGACTCCTGTTCTTCCCAATCTCAGAAGCCCAATAGAAGCATTTCTGGACAAAGGTTTATGTGTGTGTGTGCCTCTGCACCAAAGACTGGCTTCTGCTTTGAAAATCACGAGCAGGATGGTTTCACTAGGAGGAAGACCTTCCAACTAATGTCATATTTAGTGTTTTGGGGTCAAATTTACTGAACTTCCTTCTAAAAATACTGTTTTCTAATAACTGGCATTCTTAATCAGCTCTGATGTTGTCAGCCTTTATATTGACTGTTGTGTTCTTGTTAATCTGTAAATGCTTTTTTTTTTTAACATCAAGAAGACTACTTAGTGAGCTCCTGCCATGTGAGTGGAAAACAAAATCTCATTCTGAGGAAGTATCTCAGCTGATACATATGTATTTTTGGGGGCCCTTCTCTGGTATTTGCAAGTCATTGTTGGTAGTTTTTCTCATCAGAGCTGTACTCCTGCCTTGCCTTTATCCACAGCAAGGAGACAGCCCCTTGCTGTGCTGAGCACAAGTCCATGCAGGCACATCAAGGCTGGTGTGCCAGCTGTGACTGGAAGTGTAGCTCCAAGGGCATTTCAGGGTTACGTTTCTTGTGCCCAGCCTTGGTCTCGGTGTTTTTGCAGGATGGCCGAGTGTTTATCTGGACGTGTGATGATGCCTCTGGAAACTCCTGGTCGCCAAAGCTGCTGCACAAGTTCAATGATGTTGTCTGGCACGTGAGCTGGTCCATCACTGCCAACATCCTTGCAGTGTCTGGAGGAGACAACAAAGTGAGTACTGCTGCCTTGGCTTTTACCCCTGTGTACCCTGTTTCCAGGGGAGCTGAGATGAGGCTGTTGTCACCTGTTTAACTCAAGGCTGTCACAGAGTCTCCTTTGCTGCCATGGGGGCCTTTTTCTTCTGATTAATCAGGAGGGCAGGAAGACCGTAACGTTTGGAAAACCACTTGCACTGCATTCTGTCCTTACTGGAGGGTAGAAATGCAGGCTGAGCTTGATTTTGTGGGGTACTGACAATTCACATACTCTCCTCATACGACTGCAGGCTACCACCAAACCCATGCTGTGGTAGCTACAAGAAAAGGGGAAAGAGGATATGTTTAAAGCTGAAAGCTGTTCCTGCTCTGTTTTTGAGGTGACACTGTGGAAGGAGTCGGTGGACGGACTGTGGGCGTGTATCAGCGACGTGAACAAGGGCCAAGGAGGGGTGTCTGCTGTGACAGAAGGGCAGCAGAATGAGCAGTGATGCACAGTGGAGTACTCCAGCTGCAACAAGTGATCACTGTCCCTGATTTGCAATGCGTCCTTAGCTGGATGAGAACTGATTTTATCTAAACTGGACATGAACATGGGAAACAATTATCCAATTTTTTGAGCACTCTTACTGGGAGGCTACAATATGTTGATAATCAGCCTTAATTGACATTCCCTTAAATTTAAGATAAACAGTATAGCCAAGGACTGTGCCTGATACTACTCCTTGATACTGTAGGAATTATTCCCTGCTTTTCTGGTTTAGGGGTCAAATTTGAGTGGCTGTGCTGTGGTCAGAGTTCACACACTTCAGCAGAACAGGGAGAAGCTGTCAAAACAATGAGGTGTGATGCTCCTTTATGCAGGGGACAAATACTCTGTGCTCTCAAAGACCAGAACTTTGTTTCAAGTGAGGGAACGGGCTGGTGGAGTTCTCGGGTTAGCTGGTGGTGTGCTAGCTAGCCCTGCTGGTAACAGTGATGTTGTACTTGTGTCTTTCTGAAAATAACGTGCTAGGTGAGTCTCTGCCTTCTTGAAGATGAAAAGGAGTAGTGGAATGCATATGTCTTCTGCTTTATAATAATCTCAAACTGGGTTATTTAACCAACATCAATAAATCAAACCATGGTTTGAAGATTTATTTTTTTTAGTCACACTTCTGTACTGTACCTCAGTTGTTTGGATTTTTTTTTTTGTTGAGATACCAACAGAATAAAATCCTATTGGTTAAAAACCTGGCGTGCTGTATTAAATAAACTTTTCACGGATTGCCTTTTCAAGGCAATCTGCAGTCTGTCTTCAGCCAAGCCGCAGTCACATCTTCCCGTCCTTGTAATTAGCTTTCAAGAGCTTGGCTTTTTTGGTGGGATTTTTTTTTCCTCTAATGGTACATCATGAGACAAGGCTTTACAAAGCCATTGCACTTCCTTTGGTCTTGGCAATTCCCAGGGAGCACGTAAGCAGTGCCAGCTCCCCTTTTCTGCTCTTACAGCTCTACTCGTCATGAGGGAAGAAAGAAGGCCGTGAACCCACTCGTGCCCTTTGCAGCTGTTTGTTTTTAAAACCAGCGTCGGCCGGCGGAAAGGCGAGGCCGCGGGTTTGTGACCGGCCCGCCGCCCTCAGGCACAGCCCCGCCCCGGCTGGCGCTGATTGGGCGGCGGGGCGGCGGCGGAGGCGCTGATTGGATGGGGCGGGAAGGGCGGGAAGGGCGCCGCGCGCGCTCCCTCAGCCCCGGCCCGCCCGCGCCGCAGCAGCCTTTGTAATTAATTTTACGGCGAAATTCTTCTCTAGAGCCATCAGAAAGGAAACAAAGCTACTTGACACTGAATGAAGACTGAATAAATATGTCTGTACTAATAATTACTACTGAGAGCGAAGTTCTCAGTTCTTTTGCCCAAAGAGGGTGGAATGAGATATATTTTCTGCGCCATAAATCGTGAAAAAACAGCCTAAAAAGAAAGGATTTTTTTCAGGTTTTTTATTCAAAAAGCTACTAGTAAATGGTAATGCATAAACTGGATTGTGAACTGCCAAGTTACATAGCAGTGTTACTGTAAGACCACACAGTGTCTTATATATGCCACGCTAAATACTTAGGTAACTCTGTAAGACTACATAGATCACCTCAGACAAAGAACAACAATTCCATTTGGTGACTACAGGAGAACAAAACCTCTAAAGCACCTTAGTGAAACAGAACCGTGCACAAACTACCTCTCCCAGTTTAAAACTCGAGTTTCCCATCCAGCTCTGCAGTGTATCCATGTGCGTTCCTTTCTGGAGAAGACACCAGGATTTTACCACGGGTCTCCCCCAGAATACACCAGTGAAAAACAATGAATATTACATTTTCACTGCCACAAAGTATCTCTATAAATCTCCTGTAGAATTAAGTAGTTACTGACCAATCTGAGTATACAATGTTTCTTATGTCGGTATTAATCTTATCTTGGTTTGATTCTGGTAAAATAAAAAAAACCCCTGACACAGGTAAATACAAAGACAGTATCCAAGGCACTTTTAATTAAGGAATTGTACCAGTTTTTAGTGTAGAGAATAATGAGAAATGTGTAGGTAATTCCAGTATACAGGTCTTTAGCTAAAATACTTTTACTTGCTCATAATAATACATACAATGAAATAGGTACTGTACAAAAATAGAAGTTAAACAGTTCTTTGTGTAAAGCTAGGAATACATACTAGTAAACAATTCCACTGAAAAGAATTGCATATAATTAATTTTATTTTTGTTCCCTGACCTGCACTGTGAATTGCAGCCATTTCTGCACTTCAGGCCCTGTTCCCCGTGCTCAGCAGGCAGCTCACCTGTCTGTAAACTGAGCTACATGCTCTGATAATTCTTTTGGTCCATAATAAACCTGTTTTTCCCTATACTGTACACAAGTGGAATATGCTAGCAATAATAAAATTTTAATAAAATAAAATAGTAATAAATATCACAAAAACAAAATACTTTCTTAAGGGGGCTTTCACTTGATCATAAATACACCAGCATACAAGTTTCTGGTTTTTGTTTTGCATGTGATCCCTGGGCCTGCTCCTACAACTAAGGGACACCCACAAGGTTCTTCTGAGAATGCCTGGTGAGTGTGGAACCATCATAATTAGCTTATATTTGACCCATTGCCAAAATAAATACAACAAATTATGTTTCAAGTGTCCTATAAAAAAATCAAAGCTATTTTAAATTAAAATCTTTTCCCTAATCCAAAGTATACAACAGTTATCACGTGAAACACAATGAGAAACATTACCATGTAAAGGACACTTTGAGAAAAATAATTCCCAAAAATACCCCTATGGAATATTGAACATGGTCCCAGAGCTCCCAACAGTGAACTGAAAGGTTGGGCTTAAGTGCTGTCGGTGTGGAGGGAAGCTCAGAGGGGAAGGGGCTGAAGTTAATTACCTTCACTTGTGGTCAGCACAGTCCAAACCGAGGTGAAGCTGTGCACAGCGTCCTGAGAACTGCACAGAAATCCCTGTCTCTGGCACTGCACTGGGTCTGAGTGTGTGGAGGAAGGCTGAACGAACAGGAGAGCCACTGCAAACCTCCGAGGGGCTCTGAGGATCCCTGTCCCTCCGAGGGGCTCTGAGGATCCCTGTCCTTCCAAGGGGCTCTGAGGATCCCTGTCCCTCCGAGGGGCTCTGAGGATCCCTGTCCCTCCGAGGGGCTCTGAGGATCCCTGTCCCTCCGAGGGGCTCTGAGGATCCCTGTCCCTGCAGGCAGAGGGGGATTGCTGCCTGCCGCGGGTCAGCGTCTGCTCCGTAACCGCGGGTCAGCGAGACCAACAGCTGCCTCCTGAAACACGCTGAAAACCAACACAAATTATTATGTGCTTGCCATTCTTGCCTTTGCCATTCCTTTTCACACTGCAGATGGAAAGGCAGAAGGCATTTCTGTGTACAGAGTGGGGCTGTGCTTTAATCTGATACAGAACAGGTATTTTCTGGTGCTCCTCCATGCGGTACTTCTTGTTTCCTCCAGTCAGGGCTAGTGTTCCTGATCGAAATCTGCTACCTAATCGTATGTGAAAAGTGCACTTTTATCATCTTTCTAATGAGGAGACAGTCCTTATTTCTTCTTCTGAGCTTGCCACTGCTAATTAATCCATCCAATTTATGATTCAAAAAGTTCAGAACTGTTTAACTTGTCCTCTTCATACAGCAAAATATTTTCCATGAGCTTCTTTTTTTGATCATTTATCTGTATTTTCCAAGACGTCTCTCTGGCTAAAGCTGAAAAACAAAAAGAGCACAAATACTGAGGGAAGAAAAACATCTATTGTCTAAGAAATAGATGATAATTTTAAATTTAAGAAAAAGCAAGCAACTAACCAAACAACAAACTGGCTTAGGAAAAAATCTGATAGAAAACTGCTAAATGTTTTGCAGATTTATTAGTAAATTCATAACCAAGGAGAAAAGATTTACCGATATGTGTTTAAAAGTAGGAAGAGGAAGCTAAGCAGCTCTGGAGAAGGGAGTAATTTGCCCCAGTACTGTCAGAGGAGGGCACTTGTACCTTGAGGAGCACACGCAGAGTCCGGGTCGGTGTTTCCCTGCGGGCAGGTGCCCTGTGCAGCAGCTGCTGGCTCCAGGATGCCATCGCCTCGGGCGCACGCCAGGCTGCTCTCCTGCAGCCCCTGGGCAGGCTTTCCCTGCCTGAGCCCGTAATCACAGCCTGCCGCTCTGTCTGAACTGCTGCACTTGTGGCTGGGTGACTCCTCTGTGGGCTTTTCTGGAGGATCCCATAGGAAACTGCTGGACTCATCTGATTCACAGGGGACCCGTGACACGTAGATGCCGCAGGTGTGGGGTGCCACAGCTGCCAGGGAAGGCACTGCTGCCTGGCTGCTCTCCTCCTTGTTCCCCTCTGCCGAAGGCACATCCACGCTCACACTGGCTGTCTCATCATCAGTTTCTTCTGGAGTGTTCATGGAGAATCCAGAAGTGCTGCTTCCACAGACGTAATGCTCTCTTAATTTGTTTTCAGCCATTTCCATCATTTCACGCACCTGTTTTTAACAAACAAATCTGTGAATGCATGATAATTCCTGTACCCCTGCTTACACACATTCTCCTACGTCAACACTCACAAAAATAAGCAAGACATGAATGTTGTAGCTTTACACCCTGATGACAAGGAGACTTAAATCTTGGCCGTGTATTTAAAATATTACCTCTGCTATGTTCGAATTCTTCTTTCTCAGACAAAGGCAGATGGCTGATGCAAAATCAACAGCCACCTCTTCCAGCAAGTGCCCTGCTTTTCTGTCTAGGTATTTGCAGCAGATTTCCTTGGCAGCCAGTTTTTCCAAGTTTTTTACTTTGGAGTTTGAGCTTTCTTTTGCTGTTTGAATTTCGTCAGCAATCATATCTTTCTGTTCAAATGAAGGAGATGCGTTAGTGAAGGCAAAATGAACACAAGCATTTCTTTTTGTCTGAATCTCTGAGAATCAGTATTGCTGTGTGTTTGTCATTGGTGTTCCCCAATGCCTGGCTCACAAACTGAAAACCTTTAATAATCTCTGTTCATGCAACTGACTGAAATGTTTGCTCTCACAGGAGAGAAAAAGGCCAGTGGCTTTCTCTGCATGTGTCCAATGTCAAATTTCCTAAAGCAGGGCAAGCTCTTCCTTGCTCATTTATACAGGAATGAAAAAGAGCCAACACTTTGTAGAGCAGCATTCTTACACAGGCCTTTATAACACATGTTAAGGAAATCAGGAATGTAGGATCTTTGATTTTCGGAACCCCTCTGAACAGTGGGAATACTGTTGTTCTCCCTCCAAGGCTTCAGCCAGACAAGAAGTCAGGAGCACATGCCACAGAAGGAATGCAGGTGGAGGCTGCTTTCTGCAGATGGTTTTAATGCAGTCACTGGGTTTGGCTCTTCTGATTGCTTGTGAAAGTGGCTCATGTAGCTCTAACCTCAGCTTGGGAAACCGGTTGGGAATCAGTTCCACGCATGAGCACAAGACAAAGCCTGATAAACATGATGATGAGCTTCTGCAGCTCCTGCCTGCCCAGGCTTCCCCACTCACTGTGGCTCATACCACCTCCTCCTGGCACACAGAAAATATGCAGCAGCATTTCAGCACAAAGCCTTGTCTCTGAAATACTTATTTATTTTGCAGTCTCTCCTAATGCCATTCAGGCCAGCACCCATGAGTGGGTATGTGAAATGGGAATATCAATTGTGCTTCTGTTCTAATGGCAGGCAGGCTACTGACCTTAATGGAACCAGGATATGGCTCCCAAACTTCTCTTCTGCAGGACATGTGCAGCAGACAGCAAACATCAAATTGTATTTAAATAAAATTGAAATTATTTTTAGACAGCAAGCCCATACATTTGTACTGGTGCTCATTACTGCTGCTTTTTCTTACCAGGTGAATCGGGTTTCTGTCTTCATCCAGTGCCTTAATCCCAGTCAGTATCTCTGCTAAGACCTAGAAAGTGTATTAGAAAGATAAAATTATTTGTTCAGAATTAACTATAATTTTAAAAAATAAGTTGTTAACTAAAGAAATATTGAACTTTCAATGCATTCTGATATTATATTTTACTTCAGATGGCTCAACAATGCCAGCTCAGGGCATTTATGAGACTTTAGATCTACCTCCAGAACCAAGCCCAGATTTTATAGTTCAATAGATATTGCTGAAACAAAGAATAGGAAGAAAGTAAAGCTAAATATAGATAAAAAATCATACTGCACAAAGCAACTTCCTACTTAAATGGAAACACCTGGAGACGTCATATACTATAAATTATTTTAGCTGAAATTACAACTGAACAGGCAATGTTTGTAGGACTTCATCTGGTGAGTCTGCAAGAACTTTGAGCACCTAGTTTGTTTTAAGCCTTCAGCAGTAATACTTGATCTGCAATAAAAACCACTTTTGTTTCTCTTGTTCAAAAGATTCACCTCATTTGGCCACAAACTGAGATATATTTGGAGTGTGAACCAGGCTTTCAACACATTATAGAGCCAACAACCAGAATATGAAATTGCCAGCAAAACAACCATATGAGATACTTGCTCTTATTCAATTTCTTGTCTAGAAGCATCAAAAAATAAACAAGAGCAAGGAAAAAAGGCAACATACCACACCACAGCTGAATATATCCACTTTTTCTGTTAACTGCCCATGTCTGATGAAATCTTCTGGCAGGTAAGAAAGAGAAGCTTGCAGGACTTTGGTTTTCATCATGGCATATTCTGATTTTTTATCAGAAGACTGCAACCGCAGTCCAGAATGCCCGAGCTTCGGTGTAAAGTTTTCATCCAACAAGACATTTGAGCTGCAATAATGACAGACAAATAACAATATTGGTCAAATCATTACTTTGTCTTGAGGCAAAGAATTAGTTTTATGCTTTTAAATTTAAGCACTGAAAGTGTCCAGCATTTTGCCTCCTGCATAGGACTGAAAGGATTAAGAATATTAGAAAACAAGAAGGGGAAAAAACAAGCACCCAAAAATTACTTCAAAATAATTTACTTCCTTCATTTAGGAAAGAGAGACAGGTTAAATAAAAAAGGGTAAAGGTGCTACAGAACAAGGGACAGCAGAAATTACTGCAAATGGATTTCGAAATGGTATAAACTTTAGCCATGATTATTAAAGAAATCCTGAAACTACCAGATGACCAAGGAAATCAAAGTTCTCACCTCTTGATATTCCCATGAAGAATTCCAAAATTATGCAAATATTCCACTGCTCTGACAACTCCTAAAGAAATCCTAATGCGCATCTCCCAGGTCAGTGGAGCAGAATCATCCTGCAAGGAAAGGAGGAAAAAATTGGTAATTAATGGAATAAAACCCTGTAAGACATTGGTAGTTTAGAAAACCAAAGGCTTAGCTGAGTCCCAGTCAAAGTCCAGGAGAAGAGCTGCTGCCCTCCTGGTGCTGCAGCCAAGGCACTGGGCACCTTTTTTTCCTGTCTGTTTCTCAGAAATCAAAGAGATGCAATTGTCTTTCCTGGGATTCCAGGAGAGGACTTGCAATGACAAGCAGGTGGCAGACCCAGACGATGTCTTACGTGGCACTGGAGCTTGTTTTGCAGGGAGCCGTTGGGCAAGTGCGGATATATCAGACAGTGCGATCCGGCTTCCACCGAGAACCCCAGCAGCTGCAGAATGTTTATGTGACAACACCTGCAGGCACAGATCAGCCGTGATTTGCAAATGAGGTAAGAGCAGTGCAGAAAAACACATTCCTGAGCTGGAGCAAGTCCCTAAATTCAAGCCAACTGGAAGGGTGTGCTGCAGCTGGAAGCACAGCTGGAGCACAGCACGGTCCTGGGCAGGAGCTGGCAGGAGGCTGACTGAGCAAGAGCCCATCACACTGCAGCAGGGGACGAGCTGGGCACTGTGTCCTCCCCACCCCAAGGCTGCAGAGTGGCTGTGCCAGCTCAGCCAGGACCAGCAGGAGCCCCGGGCACTGTGCTGCCTGCCCGGGGCTCCCGCAGAGGCAGCACAAGACCGCGTGTCCCCGGCCAGAACCGTGCCTGGAGCAGACACCCCAGTGCTGATGGGACACCCAGCAGCAGAGCACGAGTGGGACACACAGCTCTGCCTCTGAAAGCCAACCACTCACCGAAAGCAAATCTGCACTTCTGTATGAAAGAACCTCTGGGTGGAATTTGGGCTTGTGCACTCCAGCTGAAAAATGAAAACATGCAAGAGAATGTAGTTAGAAATTACTAGGACCTTGCATTTATACAGATCTGGTAGTCTCTAGATGACAAGCTAGTGTAGCAAACAGGCAAGTACCACTCATGGCAACATTAAGTCAAAGGCAACAATTAACTGGCAATTAGAACAAAAACTAGTGTAAAGACACACCCGATCCAATCATCCAATGCAGGCAGCTATACTACAGGCTACTCTTATCTATAGAGTTAATGGAACTACTCACATGAGTAAAGTATTCATCAAAGTGTGTTTTCTGAATTTAGGTTTAATTATTTACATAATTTCAGTTTTACCTCTCCTCTTGTGTAGTTATTCCTTCCCCACGCAGTATTAAACAACATCTGCTAATGGGCAAGTCATGCTAATAACACACACTCCTCTAGAAAAAGGTGCAGTACTTGCCTCTTTGAGCCTTTTGACGACAAGCACCACGTTGTTCCTCTGGCCTTTGTAGACATCTGCAAAGGCACCTTCACAGATCCTGTTCTTGTCACTGAAGCTGTTGGTGGCGTTGGCAATTTCCCTCTGGGTCCACAGGAGACTCCCGCTCGGGAGATCAGCCATCGTCTCCTGCTGAGGAGCAGAAGAGCTGCAAGGCTACACATTTGTAGAAGAAACAGGTTTATCTCACGATAATTCATATGCTTTTTCCCTCTTTCAGTGTCATATTATCCTTCCCATGTTTTAAGCAATCGTGATTGCTGAATGAAACTGTGAAAGGCACTATGCAATCACTGCTTAGGGTGTAGGTAACTCCTGTGTTGATGTGTTGGGATGATGTAAAACTTTTGCATAGCAGAAGCAAAATCAGTTACCAATCTGCATTTCCACCTTTCCCAGGAAACAGACTTAGCTTTGTTTGAAAGGCCATACATTTCTGTGAAGTGATGTTAGTCTGATTTACAAAAGATCTTAATCTTTATAGCTGGGATACATATTAAGAAACAGTTGGATGAGAAAGTGAGGTCCCTTGTAATTATGGTCTGGTAAACTTCATATCTACTTTTGAAGCATCTGGCATCAGTTGCACAACAATTTGTTGCTTCTAGTGTGGTAAGTCCTAATAACAACTATAATTACAGTCTCACTGGAGCCTAATCATGCAGCTTTCACAACCTCAATGGGCATACAGCTTGAGGAAATAAAGCACTAACTTCTTCTCAAGAAACTGTGAAACTACTGCACTCTGAGTCAGTCTTCCCTCCTGGCTGATACTCCTGGACCACGTTATCGTGGAAGAGTTTAAAGCCTCAGACAAAATAAACCAAAGAAAACAGGCCAAGAACAACCACGATGGGACTAAGGTGTGCCCACAGATCTGGGAAACACTTTGGGGACAGGACAGATCTAGTTAGACTGTATGAAAGATGAGAGAACTGTGGGGAGGAAGGAATAGGAGACTTCATGCTGAAATCATCAGGAACATCAGGAGAATTTTCCCCACTGTGATGGTTAAGCATCTGAACAGGGGCTCAGAGAGGTGATGGAACATTTATCTTGGGAGATTTTCAGTTGTCAGCTACACAAGGCTTTGAACAACATGACTTAAATTCAATACTAGCCCAGTTTTGAGCAGAAACCACATTTTAAGTATACAACGAAACTAAAAGAGGTCTGTGGTTCTGACTAATCAGTGATACATACTGTCCCGTGATCACACCAGAAATGTAAGTCCTCTGTGAAATCTACATGTGAGAGTCCTTCAAACTCAGTTGCTGTTTGTTGGTATGCTATCCCTTCTGAGCTATGCAGGAAGTAATACTGTAAATTTTTCCTTCCCTGGCAAAAAAGTGATGTAACCACAAGCAATCTAACTGAAGCACTAGTACTGCATTCAGTCCAAACCCTTTGTATGGAGCTCAACCTTTTCACTACAGCAATGTTTTTGTACAAGTAGAGGGATAAACTTTAACAGAAAAAAGACAGAATGTCATAAAGGCAATTTTCCTTGTAGAGTCAGCGAGCACTAAGGGGATTTACCTTCACACTCGATAGAACAGGAGGATTGGACTGTAGGGAATTCAAAAGGTCTCTTGGGGGAGGTGGTGGAGCAGGGAGGGAATACAAGGCTCCTTCAGAAACAGCACCTGAAACTGAGATAACAGCATTGAAAACACACCTTAGTTTTGTAATACCACCACCTGTGACTAACTACAAAGGTCTAAGAACTATGAAGATCTGGGGTATTTTTTTTTAACTTTCTGACCAAGGATAATCTGTGACAAGCTGACAAACTGAAATTCTGTGTGAAGACAGGAGCTCTCTTCCTGGTTCTTGTTTGCAGGATGACTGTGCAGCCCTCTCCAGCCCTGGCTGGGACATGGAGCTCCCTGTGCCTGTGCTGCTGCAGATGCTCCCCCCAGGACGTGCTGGGGTTCTGCCTTCCCTCTCCCAGCAGAGGGGCTGCTGACCCCTGCCCAGCTCTCTGCTGGCCCAGATTCACTGTGCTTGAAGAGAGGGACATGGGGCAGGACATGCATGCACTGGGGCAGTCTTTGTAAGGAGCCAGGATGGGATCAAGGCGTTCAGAGTCCTGGGAATCATCCTGAGATGCCACAGGACAGACACAGCCAGCATCTCTCGAGGACAAGGGGGCCAAAGGAGGGATGAGCAGGAGGTTGTGTGCTGAAGTAGGAATAAACAGGAGACAGCAGTGCTGGGAAAACAGCAAACACTCAGCTGTGCCCACCTGGGAGACCAGTGTCTGCACTGCACGATCCTGACACAAACACACAGCAGCCTTGGCTGTGCAGTCACTTCATGGCAGAGCAAACTCACAGCCCAGTACTGAACTTACTGCCTGAAGGGGCTGCTCCCAGGTGCGAGGAGTCTGGGGATGGCAACAAACTTAGGGCACTTTCTTTGTCGCTCCTTTTGCCTTCTGTGGGAGGTACAGATACGATCTGTTTGGGTGGCTCTGGCTCTTCTTTCTCAGGGAGGGTGATGCTAGAGGCTGATGTCCCTTCAAAACACAGCAAAGGGAAGATAAGGATAAGCAGGGAAAATAGAGCCTGACTCTAATCAGTGACCAGAAAATAATCCTAATCAGGACATCAGACTTCAAATTAACATCAACATTAAAATGAATACTCAAGAAATTTAGACAGTATTTAAATTGAGACTATACCTATGACATTAACTTCTACTGAAAATTAACAGGAACTAATTGCTTCAAATAAATACCAGCAATGACTGTTCAAGAGATGCAGAGTCTCTTACAAGAATAAATTAGCAATAATGATATGTTTATCATTTTCTGTATAGCATCCTTCAGGTAATGATCTCAAATCACAAATACCTCCCAGCCTAAGGAAGGCATTGAGTTCTCTGCAGTTGTCACAGGACTGAGGGGAAGATGGACAGAATTGTGTTTGGTTGAGTCAGTTACATGTTTTAGGACTATTTTCAATTGTGTGATTTTAGTGGCATGACTAGGTTCATTCCCAGGAAAAACTTCCATATACAGACTATTTGTAAGAAAGACTCTTACTTAGCAACAGAAAGAAACAAACCAAAGACAATCTAGGGAAAACAAAAAATGGTCAAAGCTCAAAACTTATTGATATATAAGGAAAGTTTAAAGGATGAATTATTGATTCACTACAGCTCTAACAGATCCTGTGCTGTACACAGCTTGGCAAAACCTCAGAGTTAGGCCTGAAAAAGCAACTTGAAGTCTAATTAAAAGAAGTAAAAAGATACAGTGTCCAGGAACTTAAAACTATGTAATTTCCCTGAGGGGGAATTAATTAGATGAGATTAATCTACAATTAGGATGGGAAGAAATACAGTACAAAAGTTCAAGATGCTGTGATATATGAGGTTGTCAAAATCTCCAAAGCAGGTGAATTCTTACCTCTTAAAATGCCCTTAAAACTGAGGTTGAAAAGGAGCCTGGAAGTGCCCAGTGAGCACTAGGGGTGACATAAGGGCTTTCTACTCCCTGATAACATTTTCCTGGTTGTAGTTTTAAACTTTTATATGGCACCTTTTATCAGAAATACATTTAACATTTTCTTAAAAATCCGAATTAATGTTTGGATATAACAGAAAAAGCCCAAACATTATTACACGGTGGTTTTTATCCTGCTGTTCTCACAGCTTTGGTGATTTTAGAACCAAATGTGGCAGGCCTCTGCATCTGAAATCAGACAGCTTTGTGCTCTTTTACTTGTACAAACAAAGGCCAGGGAGTAGCTGGAACAAGCAGGAAGCCCAGTGTTTCTTGTGTAATCTGGGCTACTGGTGTGACCCATGAGCCAGAGAACTGTGGGAGGGAAGCCAAGCCTGGCACAGTCGGGCACTGAAGCTGAAGAACAGCAGGACATGAGGAGCCATGAAGGCAGAAATGGCCAAGCTCTCTTCGAGCTTTCTATCTGTTCTCTTCAATGAATTCAGGTCTGAATGAAACCAGGTCTGAAAATTAAAACTCAGAACACTCAGGTGTTTTTGTGACTGTGTTAGGATGCTATGAAATCCCGAATTCTACAGGGTTTTAAGACTAGCTGTCAAACAGCCTGCAGGCCTTTAGTCAAACCTGACAGTCCCTTCATTCTGAGGCAAGTCCCTGTATTCTGTTTTTTTCTCACATGGTTTAACCTAGAAGTCTCAGAACTTAGCATCACTTCCCTTATTCAACCTACTTTTCAGGGTTTTTCATGACTTTTGCAACTTCCTGCATGTCAGACAAACAGGGCAGCACTGCAGCTAAGAACTGACATAGAAAACATCATTATGGACAATCAGAAGTGGCACTAGAGTGCAAAGAACTGTTGAATGGATGTAGAACTCTTTGGGAAGTAATCTGCCAGCAAAAGATCTCCCTTTGTGCTGTGTCTGATTCCTCCAAGTAGGAATAAATTGAATTATGGTGATGTAAGGACCGCTTAGTCTCCTGAAGTGCCCAACAGAACAAGCAACATATCCTCTGTGTCTGCCCAAGAGGGATCACCTGAGTAAGCATATTCAGACACAGAGAAAAGCTCAAAAAAAACCAAAAAAGTAACTGAGAGCAGCATAAGGGAAAGCAGGTAATGCCCTGTTGTAGCTACGCCAGGTGCAAATTGTGCAAGCGATGGCCACGCTGACACAGCACGGGAGCAAAGCAGACCCACGGAGGGGTGGTGATGGCTTTGTCTGAGCTGGGTGTGTGTTTCAGGGCTAACTGCTGCAACTGCTCTTGGAGCAGAAGCAATCCTGGCAGGGGCTGCAACAACATGCTGTCTCTCAGGCTGTGATCCAGTGCCACAGGACCCTGTGTGCAGCCTCTGTGCTCTGAAATCCTGCCTGATGTAAAAAAGCACCAGCCCTGGTGTGGCCACAGCCCATCTTCCTGGCACTTCTTGAAGGGTCCAAGATAGCACCACAAAGATGGAGGGATGAGCTGCAGGGACCCTGAGTCCACCTGTGTCACCTCTTCCCTCACACCACCAGTTTTACTCGAGTGAGCGGAGAATCACAATCAGTGAGACATTTTAGAATTTGACAGAGGACATGACTTCTAACAAAAAGCTTCTTGAGCTAGCAAGGAAGATGTCCTAGGAGGGGCCTGGGTGCTGTGAGGAGCAGCACAGAGCCACGGCAGGAAGGGGCAGCTACTCACAGTCCAGGATGACCTGAGCTGCTCGGTAAAGCTGCAGCCCTTGCAGCAGGTCCAGGAGCTGCTGCACTGTCGCCAGCCTCACTCCCCACCACCACATGAGCTCCCTCGTGATGCTGATCCCTGTCTTCTCCATGCACTTGATTTTCCGTAGCTCTGTTTGATCAGTGATCACATAGGAGGCTGGTGGGAGAGAATGGATATCTCTGTTTAAATATTAGAAAAAACAGGCAAGGGCAAGCAGGGCAGGCTAAGGTGTGAGACACTGTTTACTTTTGCATTTGCATATCTTTAAAAGGAAGGATCATAGTAAATTACCTATGGGGACATGAATAAATTTCTGTTCCTAAAGTAAGATACTCCTTTTGTTCCTTCAACTATTCTGGAAAAAATTTTTGATCTATCAGAGACACTTGAAAAGAAGACCCACTTATACTTTTCAGCATATTTTCCCTGTAATCTTTATCATTAACACTTTGTACCAGAGTAAGGTGAGATTAAATTCCTGGGGTGATTCTCCAAAACAGGTGACAGCAGTCAGTGGCGTGGCTGCACTCCCACTTGCATTCCTAAATCCCTGTGCTGTGGTGAGCACAATAACTGAATACAATAACTGAAAAACAATAACTGAATCACCTGGGTGTCAGCTGCACTCTGATAAAGCCATCGGGGAAATGCAGCTATTTTTAGGTCCTGTGCCCCAGCTGACCCCACACAAGCTGTCCCAGCTCCGGACCATGCCTGCCACCCCGCTGTATTCCTCCAGCCCACTACCCCTACAAACCCCCTCCCCTCACCAGTCCCCACCCCACACACCCAGACACTGCCCAGAGCTGGGGTCTGGGGGCTGTGCCTGAAGGAAAAGGCGAGGGGCTGGGGTGCTCGTGTGGAGACAAATTTTCCTGAGTTCTCACCACGGCTGGCTTTGGAAGGACATCAGAAATACAGCTTTATGCATCTGAAGGTAGTGGAGATGAATCCTCCCCTACATCAGGAACTTTAACTGGGGTAAGAGCTTATTCAGCACACAGTTAGGGAAGTCATGTCAAGTAAAGGAAGGCAGGTACTAACATTCAGGTTAGAATTCTTTGCAGGGGGACACAGAAAAAAGAGTAAATAACTCAGGGACTATATTTTCTGTACTTAGTGACTGTACACAGCCAGGATCAAGAAAAACAGGGGCACAAAGCATGAGGGAATATACATAGAGAGAAAGAGGAAATAAAAAAATAGGACATCTGAGCAGATGTGAGGGACGTTGTGGAAACAGGCAGTGAGAAGCGGCAGGAGGTACAGCGCGACTGGAGAGGGAAGTGCGAAAGGTTGCGGGGAGCGAGGGGAAGGAGCCCGGCTGCCCAGGGAAAGCCAAGGAACCACAGAAGCCTGGATTCCACCTGTGTTTGAAAAGCAAAACCAGCCCGGCGCCCGGGAACTCCCTGTCTCGGGATGCGCCCTCCGTGCCCTGCCCTCACCGAACCGCATCCAGTCGTAGTCGCTCAGGCAGTCCATCTTCTGGCAGAAGTCCTCCAGCACCCAGGCGGGCATGCTGTGGATGTAGAGCGCCGGGGCCGAGCCCGCCCTGGGGGCGAGGGGCGGCTGCGGCAGGGCCATGGCCGCGCCGTGCCTGTCCGCACAGCCCTCGCTGCCCCGCCGGCAGCCCTCCGGCCTGTCCTCTTCGCCCGCAGAGCCTCCTCTGCCCCGGGGCCTGCCCTGGCAGCCCGTCCCAGCCCGGCAGGCCCGCGATCCCCGGCGGCTCCCAGCGCCGCTTCCTGCTCCGCCTGACGTCAGGCCCGGCCCCCGATGCAAATCAGATTTTCCTCTCCGTGACTGGTCACGGCTCCCGCCCGGCTGCCGAACCGCGAGTTCCCGGTGCCGCACGCAGAGCGGCTTCCCGGGACGGCGGCTGGCAGCGCCGCGGCCCACAGCCCGCGGGAGGAGCGGGCGCGGCCGGGAAGCTGAGGGGGCCGCGGGGACGCTCCGGCCGGGGCCCGCCGCCGCGGCAGCGCTCCGGGGTAGCCATGGTATTATGAAAATCCTTTGCTGGGATTTTTCCTCTCCTGAGAAGCTGAGGAGCCTCAGGAGAGAAATGTAAACAATTACGGACCACGCCTTGAGTGGGAACGGCCGCTGTGCCGGCAGTGAGGGCTAAAGAACATCACAAGCGGTCACAGGGCCGGGTCTTGCTTGTCAAGGGCTAGGTTTAAAATATGTTCTTAAAGGCAGCAATTTTTTCTGATTTTTTTTTTTTTTTGTTTAACCTGATTTTGATGAAAATGTATAATTAGTTAATGTTCCAGTGTAAATATTACTAATTACTAATATTACTATTACTAATATTGCTTCTGGCTTAAAGTCAGCAATTTTTTCTGATTTTTTTTTTTTTGTTTAACCTGATTTTGATGAAAATGTATAATTAGTTAATTTTCCAGTGTAACTATTAATAATTACTAATATTACTATTACTAATATTGCTTCTGGCAAAAAGGAGAGCCTTCCTGCCATACTACTGCTGCTAGAGACTGCCAGCAGATATGTAAGTGTAACCATCCGTCTTCTGGTCTTGTTGTTCATATTTAACCCTAGGGCTAAATTTGTATGAATTGAAAGAAGTGCTGTAAGTTTTGACAGCTTTTAATTCACTGTTTCTTTGTACTCTGCATGTATGTTACAGTACAGCTAACTCCTGTTTTCAGTATCAAACTTTCAAACTTTTGCAGTTTTCTGCACTTCTGGCCTCAGAAATCATGAACTTCTTAGCTCTGCTGTGACAATGCAAAACTGAAAAATGCAATATCCTTGTAGCTATAAGATCAAAGAACAGGGAAAAATAAACAAAACTACCAAAGACTGCCTTGGGATAAGCTGTTTTATCCGTAGTACCAGTTCAACAATAATAGTTGCATTTATGGGGTTTTCCCCTCCCTTTCCCCTGCTTGCTGTCCCTCTGACACACACCTAAATGCATTCATGACTGGAACATCTCTGGAAGTGATGTAAGATGAGACTGAAATTGTGTTGCAAAGAGCTACATAAAAGTAGGAAGAAAATACTTCTTCCCCCTAGGTACTGGAAAAACTTGCGAAACCATTTGAACTCTTTGCCTCGGCTTGGAAACAAGGGGAAAGACCACATCCAACCGCTGTATGGCTTCAGTTCTGCTCTGAACGTCACAAGTCATGCAGGCTCTTACTGGGGAACTGAAATCGACTGAACAGACACTGGAACAATCCTGTGTGTTCCTGCTCTTTCCCGTGTGCTGCGGGCCGGGCTCTGCACTGCCGTGCTCTCCCCGAGCCCCAGACAGTGCCAGCAGCAGCATTTATCCCCGGGGTTTGTCCCATCCTGCACAGCAGGGTCAGTGCCAGCAGCATTTATCCCCGGGGTTTGTCCCGTCCTGCACAGCAGGGTCAGTGCCAGCAGCATTTCTCCCCGGGGTTTGTCCCATCCTGCACAGCAGGGTCAGTGCCAGCAGCAGCATTTCTCCCCGGGGTTTGTCCCGTCCTGCACAGCAGGGTCAGTGCCAGCAGCATTTATCCCCGGTGTTTGTCCCATCCTCCTGCACAGCAGGGTCAGTGCCAGCAGCATTTATCCCTGGGGTTTGTCCCGTCCTGCACAGCAGGGTCAGTGCCAGCAGCAGCATTTCTCCCCGGGGTTTGTCCCGTCCTGCACAGCAGGTCGCGGCACACCCGCTCCCTGGGCTGGCCCTGCCGGCTCTCACTGCTCTCCCGGGATGGCCAAGGAGGCCGTGCCGGGCTGACTGAAACCGCCACAAGTAAATGAGGGCTCTCACTCATTACTAACCCATCTGAGTCACTACTGGGAGACTGCATTTCCCAATGTTCACGGGTTACAGCTGGCTGGGGTTTCTGCAATCTTTTATTCTGATCCAAAGGAGCACTCCAGAACAGAAAAATACACTCTAATAAGAAACACAAGAAATCACAGACCCCACCCAGCTCAGAAATACCCAGAACGTGTGTGCCATGTACAGACTGTTAAACCCAACACCTAATACCAATTAGGTTACAGGAAAAGCTGCAGCCAAGCAGGCCAGCTTTCTGCCCGGCAGAGCTGCCGTGCTAACTGCACAGCCCCACAGACAGCAGGAGGGCACGTCCTCAGGTATGGCCAGGAGCAGGGCACAGCTCTCCCACCCCCAGGCTCCCTGGGGCGCTGACCCAAGTCTGCTGCAGAGGCCGGCGTGGGCTCTCTTTCCCCTCAGAGGTCTGTGGGAAGTGGTAAGAGCAGAACTGCCCCGCAGCCCGTTCCTGCCCAGCCACTGCCTGAAGCTGTGCTGATAGCTCCTGGCAGCCACAACACAGCCCGGCAGCCCACGGCTGGGCAGTCCAAAGTGTTTACTGCTCAACCGCTGACTGTCAGTGTCACAGGAGTACAAACACAGAGGCACTGGGGACTTACCTGACAGAATTACAGTCAGAAAGCTAGCATGCATTTCCATTTTTATGTCAAAGATCAATTTCTTCAAATATGTAAGAGAAACAAGTTTACAAATAGGGAGACATTCCATACTTACAAAATACATTGAGATTCTCGATTTCACAGCTAATCTCAAAATGTACAACTGGAGGGAAACATACTCACAGAAATAACCTGCTGTAATCAATCTCCAACCAATCTTGCTTCTAACCTGAGCTGCACCACATCTTGCTTGATGGACAACTCATCCAACACTGAACTATGCTGCACTGAACTCTGTGTTCACACCAGAGCACATTCCACTGAGATGTGGGGAACACACAGGCAAAGAAACATCATCTCTCCTTCTCCAGCCTGCCAGTAAGCATGGCCCTGTTTGTGAGCTGGCTGTGTGAGCCAATACAGCTCCCACTGGTCCTGAGGAGATACAGGCAGCTCAAGAGGCCCATGCTCCCTGGAAAGGCTCCTGCTGCGACCTGGACTACAGCACTGCGAGGGGAAAAGACAGAACTTAAAGCATCTGCTTCCTGTGAGCCCTGTACGGGCTGCTGGGGAAGCAGCTGGGGGGGACAAGGGTGCTCCAAAACAAGGGTCTGGTCTGCGTGGCTGAGATCAGCCAGGCAAGACTCCTGTGACAAAGGCAAATAAGGCATTTGAGGTATGATGACAGTAAGAACATGTCAGAGCTAGAGCAGATAGGACATGGCTTTGTACGTGGAAAGGTAAGAGGCAGAATAACCTGCAACATTTACACATCATCTTCCCACCAATGTAACGTTTGTCAGACCCTCAGGCACTGCTGGAAACCCTCATGTGCAAACCCTGATGCTCCGTGACCCACAGGCACATTGAGGTGACATGTGAAAGGGAAATTCCATCAAAACAAATTACTCAAACAAAACCCATGACACTCACAGCCATTAGTCTGGGCTAAATTAATCACTGGTGTAATTTGCTTTCTAATACAATGAAAATAACTTTGCATGAATATTTTCCATTTAGCTGCCCTGATCTTACCCTACAGTTTGCAATACCTGTAATGAAAAAATGAACTGAACCATCAGAACCCAGCATGCCTCCCAGTGCTGCTCAGTCTTTGGGGTTTTACTGTCACCAAAGTTATTGAGTTTATGTTTCAAATTTAAACGGAGGCATCGGTTGGTGTGTGTCCTGGCAATTCTCGCTGCTCAGACTCAGTGGTTTGTAACGAGGAGTCTGGAGTGAGTAATCCCGTTATTCCACAATTTAGTTCCTCAGTGCCTCATTCCTCTCCAGAGAAAGCCGCCGAAGATCCTTCCAAATGTCAGGATGATCCTCCAGCTCTTCGTATAACGACTGAACAATGTCCAGTTTCCTGTAGTCCACGGGGCTGACCAGGCTGCGCACCACCTGCAGACACCTCTCCTTCAGGGTGAACACTGCAGCCAAACACAAGCACAGCACAACCTCGTCACGAGGGCTCGCAGCTGCTGCTCCAGTGCAGCAATGCTGCTCTCAGCCTGTCAGCGCAGAGCAGCAGCGACCCCCGACAGGCTGGGCTCTGCAGACAGGACACAGATGTGGTTCTGCCAGGAGACACCCACGAAAACCCCTCAGAAACCCCCTGAAAGGAGAGCTCTGCCACCAGCTCCATCCAATGCAACAGCTCTACCTACAACCCCTCACCATCTCTTCCCGTGTCTGAGCTGGCTTAATTTCACGAGGATCTGATTTCTCACTAATCCCAACAGGTCCACAGAGAGCAAGCTCAGAATTCCCCAGAGCACGCGTGGTCCTGTCCCTTACCTGGCAGTGTGATGTCAGCTTTGGTCACATCGGGGGCTGCCACGAACAGCTCCTGCTGGTTGACGAGCAGCCCGTCATTGGTCCCTGCATCCCGGAACAGCCAGAGGTGCCCTGCCAGGGAGCAAGGTGGGAATGACCAATTACCCAGCTTTTTAACGAGCGCCTCTGAGGGGCGTCTACTCGCAAGGGACCAAGCTCTCCAGCACAGGGCACTAGCACAGCCCCAGCCACTGGTATGAGTGGGGAGGGAAAAGGAAAAAGGGAAAAAGGAGAGGAAAAAAAGAAAAAGGGCAAAAAGAAAGGGGGAAAGGAGAGGGGAAAAGGAAAAGAAAGAAGAGCAAAGGAAATGGAGAGAGAAAAGGGAAAACGAAGGGAAAGGTAAGAGTGTAAGAAGGAAAAAGGGAAGAGAAATGCAAAAGGGGGACGGCGAAAGGGCAAATTCCCCCCGGGCCCCGCGGCGCCCAAGCGCTCCCGTGCCGCCGCACCCACCCCGGTAGCTGCGCATGACGCGCCCGCTGCGCGGCTGCAGGACCGGGTAGCAGCGCGGCCGGCCCTCGAAGTCCAGCCAGACGGGCAGCACGCAGCGGGGGCTGTGGTTGTTGAACACGACCTCGGAGAGCTCCCGCGTGTTGACCGAGCGCAGCACGGCCCCGGCTCCGGCCGGCCGCCCCGGGCCCGGCGGCGACATCGCGGCCGCGCGCCCGAGGGGAGCTCCCGCACGGAGCCGCCAAACGCTCATTTTAACAAACAGACCGAAAACACAAACGGCCTTTGGCTCGCCAGTCGTCACTTGGAGCCGTCAGCTCTTTGTCATGTCTTATCGCCCTGCAGCCTCGGTTCACAGCTCCTGTGACTAAGGGCTCACCAGGGCTGCCACAAACCAGTTCTTCCTCAGCCAGTATGAGTTTTCCTCTCCCGATCTCAGGGTGCCAAAACATTCCCTCATCCTTCAGCTGTAGATTCACAAACACTGCATTATCTTTCTCACACACGTGAAAACACTAAAATTTGAGAAAAATTAAGTAGATATTGGAAAATATGGACATGAACCAGAAAAAGAACACAATTAAGACTCATCTCTTTATGCAAAACTTCTGAAACTTTAATACTTGTTAATTCACCTCTGAACAGTTATCTTAGCATGAACACACTGTAATGGAAAGGGCAAACTAGCAATTTGTTTCCAGCTTCTGAGGAGCAGAGTGGGAGGCCTGAGAAATCCTAGTATGGTCATATTTGCAACAGTATTTTTGTGAATACTGTGACAGCGTAGCTGTGGTAGTTAAATTACCTAAGAAATTCAAATTGCCACCTTGACGCATCCATGGTAGACACCAAAACCGTGAACTTGTTAATATAATTGCTAAAAGAACCTCAAATAGTAACTACAGACTGTTTTCTAGGGCTGTGTGTCACCCCCTCAGCCATGGCAATGCAATACCAAAAAACAGATCTGACATTTACTGGTAATTAGCCCCAAGGTGAGGTAACAGGCAAGAGAACCAGAAGCACAGCATACTGTTTGCCAACTGGAATTTGCTTATCAGACCACAAAAACCAGATACTGGTTTATTATTAGTTTACATTTGAGCCATGGTATAAATTAGAAAACTACATTAGAGATACTACCTCTGAACCCTTTAAGGCGACTGTCTTAGTAGTACTGTTAGTAATTTGAAGATACACCTTGGTAAATAAATTAACTGTTACACCCAGAGCTGCCTCAACATGTTTTTTACTGTAAGCAGAAGAAATAAATGTTTAACTGAAAAATGCAAGAGAAGATTGAAGCCAAGGGCATAATTACTAATTCCACTAATGAATTTCAGTTTGGGCGGAAGGGAGCAGAGGTGATTTAAATAAGAAGGTTTCAGAACACACAGCAGAACTGGCAGCTCCCAAGTTGATCCCTGGTTTAGTGTCTGTGTGACAATTTCTCCAGAGGCTGTTTGGTTTGGAAACTGACGGACTCGGCTCTCAGGTGCCTCCTTCAGCAGCTGGCCCTTCAGCGGGCACGGCGGGGTCTCCCGTCTGGCTCCAGGCAGCTCACCAGCAGCACCGAGCCTCCTGCGCCCGCTCCGAGGTGCGCCGCAGCAGGTACACGGCAGCGTGCAGTCCCCCCACGTTCACCCACACGGTCTGAGCTCTGCGCCAGATGTGTCCCACGCGGGACAAGGCCTGCAGGCCAAAAACAGCGGCACTGAGACAACAGCACTGATTATTCTGTATCACATCTGATGGGCACAAAGGACTTTCCAGGTCCAATACTGAATTTAAGCATTACCAATGATAGATCTATAATGGAGTGTCTTTTGTAATGATGGCAGCTTACAATTTTTCCCTCAATAATGTATTTTCAAGTGCAAACAGTTTGATTTTCTCTCACAGAACAAACCTTGGCAAAGCATTTCTTGTCCTGGGTAAGCAGCACAGCCCTGCCTGTCCCTGGGGTGCAGATCCGGCCCATCTCCATCAGGCAGGCTGGGTAGAGGTCCCAGTTCTTCTTCTTGGACCCTATCCTGCAAGACACATTCAGACCCCACTGCGGCCACCGGCACCGGCTCAGGGTCCACGGTGCCTCGGACACCAATCTGCCCGTTCAGGAGCACTGTTACTGTCAAGCTCCTTTCCAACACAGGGCTCCTGACTGCTTCCCCAGCGGCCCAGCTCCGTCCATGGCTGGGGGAGCCCAGCCCCTGGCCAGCACAGCTCACCTCTTCCCGAAGGGCATGTCTGTCACCACGATGTCCACAGAGCCCGTCCGCAGGGGCAGGTTGCAGATGTCCCACTGGACAACGTCCAAGGGAACGCCCAGGGCAGTGCTGCTGCAAGAGCAAAGGCAGTGCCCTCAGACACAAGCACTCAGAAGGTCTTTACTCTGGCCAGGTCTACAATGTTGGCAACAAAATAAACAAGAAAATAGGAACCAGACGCTCAAGTGCATCAATGCAAAGTGGATTTCTGTGCATGCAGCACTGCAGGAAAGGTAAACCCATCAGGCTCCTCTCACCTGTCCTTACTCTCGTTTTTCCTCAGTAAGGAGCTGATGTTGTTTGCTGCTCTCTTCACTGCCTGAGGGTTGTTATCCCCTGCAATGTGGTAGCAGTAGGGCCATTCTGCAGCTCCCTGGGAGGCAAATTATAATAAGCAACATTAGCATCAACATTGCTTGAATGAAAAAAAAACAGAATAATTTCTCAAACAAATGTGACAGAATACAACAAAGCAACTGCAAGTGGATGGCTGGAAATTTAGAATTCTGTAGCAGATAGCTGTATTTTGCACCTTTAAAGCTCAAAATACTTTTGGATTTAGTCTCTTCCTGCTACATCCTATGGAAGGAAAATGAGGTCATGTACAAAAAGTATATTTGCATCTGTTCAAAAACTGGTGAGACTGGAGCTTACTATTCAGTCATTACTAAGAAGATTTGCACATATTATTCAGCTATAATAGAATATAGCTAAGATAGAGACAAGTTTAATTCAGTTTAAAAAATCAAGGAAGAATCACCTCTATTGGAATCGCACCTGTACCACACATGGGATCAACTATGATATCTGTGGGCTGGGGATCACAGAGTCTGAGGAACAGAAGAAAAGATATGGTGAGAAATGTCTTAAAAACCTGAATCTCTGTAAATAAGGGAAAATGAACTATTTTAATCACTCCACAAAAAAACTTGATGTGATTATTTTTTCCACTAGTTAAATTTTTTTTATAACCAGCAATGAAGTGAAATTCTTTCAAGACTGTGGTACACTATTTTGAAACTTGTCTAATACAGCAAATGTTTACTTTCCTTGGCTGGGAAACACCCACTGTTATTACAAGGCACATGGTGTCAGCAACTCCGGGGGTTTTTTATTTATTTTTCTTTAAGAATTAACAGAAATGGTTTCTGAGGAAGCAGTGGGGGAGATAAAAGGTTTAATTTCTTAAACAAAAGCCACTGTTTCTTAAACAAAAACACAATGTAACAGCCCTGACCTGAGCATGCCGTAAGCCAGAGTGGAACGCAGCGTTGTGGGCCCGAAGTGTGTGATATTCCGTCTGTGGAGGCTCTCTTCAGTTAACGCAATCCCCACCACGACCTCGCTGCTGTGAATATTCAGAAGGACCTAAAGAAAAAACCTGAAGTGAATTTCAGGAGTAACAGAAGTTTTCCACAGAACTCCTAGTAAATACTTACAGGAATCTTAGATGGCAATTTAAAATCCAGGAATGACATATAAAAAAGCTTTTCTTCTTGGAAGTAAAGCAAAGCACCATTTTAATAAGACAGAATTCAGGTGAGCATTCACACACTCTCTCATTCACACCAAATTTGTTGCACAAGACTTCTCAAAGTGCTATAACCATTGCAGCTTCTTAAAATATTTGGTTTTTAAGTCTGGGGCAGAGGCCAGGTAAGTCCTGCAAGACACAGTGAAACATCTGCAAAAGCAGCAATAAATATAATTTGTGGTGGGGACTAGATTAACCAGGAAGGTGCAATCTCACTCCAGGGCAGCAGCCAGCCCTTAGTAAACCAGCAAGAAAAACTTAGGTTTTTCTGCCCCTCAGAAACAGTGGTTCCTCACCACCAACAGGCCAGGGGTGCCAGCTGTATTTTCCCAGCCTCTGCTCTACCCCTGACAGAAAATAAACACCTGACAATTACTGTCAACTCCTTCTGTCCCCTTCACCCCTCAACCAGCTTCCATTTGGAGCATTTCCTGGTAACTCAGACTGCTATTAAGCAGTGCATTAGAGGAAAGATTTACTGAAGGTGAAAGCAAGGCAAGTGCTTGCATCAGAGAACACACATAATGTTGCCAGGGAAAGGAACACTTCAGAAAGGCCAATTTCAGCACTACCAGTTTTCAGTTCCAGAGTCTCTGGAAGGCAGTTTGGAGATCTCTAAGCATTAGAAATAAGAACTAAAAATTGGTACTGCAGAAATGCAGGTATTTCCCAGGTATGCCACTATACCTCCACATCAAAATTAGTCATGTCAGCTTTCCACTGGAAGTGCTCTTGCACGGCTCCACCGAAGTCTCTTGCGGCCTCGTTGGACGTGAAGCTGTGCTTGTCTCCAGCTCGGTTGCACGTCACTCGGAACCTCAGCACCTTTGCCTCTCCTTCCCCCGTGCGACCGTCACCAGCCGTGCTCCCGCTCTCAGAACTCGCCTCCGCTTCAGCTTTCACATCTGACTGCTCATTGTCTTCCTCCTCCTCCACCCCGTTTCTGGATGTCACTCCTTGGGCATTCTCTGTGTCCTGGCCACCAGTGGGTTCCACAGCCCCAGGGTTTTGGGCACAGTCCTCCTGGTCATTAGTGTTATTTTGGTCTGCTCCTCCCTCTTCTCCACCATCACTCAGCTTCCCTCTGCTTGCAGGACTCTGCAGATTGTGTTTTTTGCGTTTTGTCTTTTTCTTTTTCAAGCTGTTGTTCAACTCCCAAACTTTCAATGGATCGGTCCAGGGTAGCTTTTTAACCAAATCTTCCAAATCCTTTAGAGCATCTTCCTTCAAAAGATAGAAGAAGTTCTGCTTTGAAGTTATTCCATTCTTTTAAAAGTTATCCTTTATTCTGAGGTCTCTCAAATTAGTTTATTAAACATTAATCCACTACAGGTTTAAGCAAAGCTTACAGGGTTTTGTCTTTTTTTGCTGTAACTAAATGGAATAACACTGAAAATCACAAGACCCACAG